TAACGTAAATATACAATTTACGATGTATTTTCGTATCTATGAAATGTATTATCAGCAAACATTAATAAAAGCACTTAACATTTTAGCCAGGCTCTGATTTCATTCTCGAAGAAAATCTACAAAATATACTGTAGAATTTCTGAACAATAACGAAAATTTGGTAAAGTCGACACATTCGAATGAAAACATATGTCTTTTCTCAGTAGCAGCTCGAACTATCATCTCTTCATCCGTATTAACTGCAACGACACGCATATGCATTTATACATTTGCTGCGAATCCATCGACGGATTTTCCTCACCAAATCTTCAAGTTATAATTCATGATTCAAGTGAATACGCCAAGTTTGAAAAAATGAAAAGCAGGCCAGTAATAAAGCACAGTTACAAATCACATCGAGCACACTTGAATATAACTCTTACCAAAATCGTAAAGCATTTTCTTGATTACGGTAATTACCAGCTACTATAACGCGTATAAAACAACAAGATGTAGTAGCCTTTCGCGCAACTCTCTATTTACCTACATCACTCGTATTAAAGTAACGTCGCGAGGTCACATAAGTAAAAGAATGTAAATTCAATTGCATTAAACTGTCGGTATTTTAAGAACTTCAGTTAGCAAACGATAATCCTGAGCGATGAAATATTATTTGTGCTGGTTACGAGGAAACTGTTTAACAAGTCATTGTTCATAGTGGAAGGGTGAATTTTATTTTCAGCGAAAACGCCGTGAGTCATTGAATGCCACGATTTTTTTTCATCGTCAACAGTGAGAAAATTCTCACGAGCGTTTCTCGTCCGACTTTGCGATCGCAACATTGACAACTCGCGACAGCCGCGCGGCCGAAATAAAATACGCGATCGTGTCGAACACGCGCGTTTCATTCGTAGCAGCGCGTTTGAATCGGGCCTCGTGTACGCCGCTTTTATTAATCTTAATAATCGATTCCAATGGCTTTATCGCGATCTCTCAATCTTGCATCCGATGCCGCTGCCGCCGCCATCGCCACCATCACCGCTGTTTTTGTTAGACTCCGCCACTGACAGCCTTTACGAAGAGTTACAAATTAATTGGGCACAGAGTCTCTTCTCTCTCTCCCTCTCTCTCTTTTGTAGCTTCGTCGATGTTCCTCTTTATTTTTTATTCATTCGGGTCTCTGGTTATGCTTTTAATGAGGTGTAATTTTACGCTTGTTGTCGGCGATTGGTTTTGTGTGAGTATGTGTTGTATGGGATTCTAATTTTGTATGATGGATGAAGGGTGAAGTGGTTTCAGTCTGCATTGGATATTATTGAGATGAGATGAGAGTTTTTTTACTTTTTGTTTGAGTACTCGTTAATTTTGCTGCTCTTTATATAAGAAGGTTCCATTTGAATATTTCATAAAATATAGTGTGTAGTAATATTTACTTTAAAAGATTTTAAAAATCTTCAGTGTCAAACTTTTAAACATGTATATTTGTTATTATAATAAGTTATTATATGCGAAAATCAACATCTCGTGAAGTACAAGGTTTAACGATTCTTAATTACATTCGCGTCGACCCAAACACGAAATGATTTATTATTCAGTCAATTTAAATATTTCTGCATCGAGAGCACCACAACACAACGTGCAAGCAGTAAAAAAAAACAAGAAATAGTCGGTATGCTCGAAATCACATACATTCCTTCAGAAAAAGGAGGAAAAAGTCGCAGTCTAACCGTACTTAAATGTCTCAACGATTGCCTCTAACAGTACAACGTCGCCAGCAATAACGTTCGCGTTATTACGAATCGCGCAGGGATTATTGAATAACATTCGTTATGGAAAAAGAAATAGATTGGCGGGGAACGCTGATTAAAGTAGAACGTCGTGTGTGCGTTCTCCCTCTCTGCCTTTGGCGGCTGCATGCGTGCAGCAACTTTTTTGCACGCGCGCGCAGCTTAGTTTTCCTTAACGACGAAAGCGCACATGGCTGAAAATCACGACAGGGGGAAGTCGTTGCTTTTTACAAGCGCGACAGTGTCAACGCTGCTTATTCTTTTGCGGCTTCTCCTTTGGTGATGCAATGTCGAGACTTTCCTGAAGGGATTGTTTTTTTTAGGTGACGAGGAAGATGCTCTCGACGATTTACGGAGATGTGTTCAAAGTACGAGTGAGACTCAATAGATTCTTGTGGAAAATGGACTATTTGGTGATCTTTGTTTTGTGTAATAAATAGTTTTAATTCGATTTTCTTTGGCTGTTATATGCATTCAAAGTTGAAAAAAGCTGTCAGAGTGTAAGCAAAGAAAAGATTTTTAATTTATTTTATTAATCAGACATAACTGTATCATCTTAATTTATTACTTATTCTAATATGTAAGTTTTTAAATCAATAAATAAACTCTAAGATATTAAATTTAGGGTTCAACTTGTAAAATTATTTTTTTCTTTCATAAACTAGAGAACAAATATACAGTCACATTAAAGTAACTCCATCTATTGAAAAGCTCTCAGTACTGTCTGCCCAAATCATACAATATCCCAATACGAAAAGATCTCCGAGTCTTTCAATTCTCGCTTTTCATCCAAAACCCACAATTACCACACCCCTTTTCGAGAAAAGATAAGAAAGAAACAACCACAAGCCGAAGCAAAAAAAAAACAAAGAATTAAATAAAGCTTGTCAGCTCGTCGTTAAAACCAACAAATGCCGTCACCTAATAACCCAGTGCAAATGCACTTTCTATAAGCTTTTGTTTTCATATCGCGAACGCGATTAGACAGATCGTCGCGACCCACATTTGAGTGCTGCATATAAGGCGCGCAGCGACAGTGTGGGATAGGGCCCGCGGCTCATATACCTGGGCTAAGCTAACGGCATTTAACAGCTGATCGAGTCGCCGCGATGTGTTTGTTTTTCGGCGCGTATCTCGGGGTCGCACGACCGATGGAAACAGCGCGACGAGCGCTGAGTTTGTCCTTCTTTTGTGCGCCGTGCGGTGCGTGGGTGTCCTCTTCGTCGGCGTGGATCGGATTCATTGCTGGACGATTAGTGATAACTGGGACGTCAGGTGTCGTAAAGCACGCTGATTGATTTTCCCTCGAAGGAGTATCGACATTTGCATTCAGCTTGAACGATCCCTGTCTTCGCATAGCGACGGGAGCTCCACCTGTACTCCAATTTTCCCGGGCTTTATGAGACGCGCCAAAAAGAAAAAGAGTGCCACCGTCGAAAAAGTGCCCCACGACAGTTTTACGGGGCCGACAGGTATACGACCTTCGGACGCGAAGGCGCGCGCGCGGCAATAAACCAAAAATTGTGTCTGGCTCGTGAAACACTGACTGAGAGAAGAGGCCCGCCATTTACGGAAATACAGCGGCGATCGATAACCATCGCCTTGATGCTTTTAATCATCGCGGGTAATTGTCATCGTTCAAGGATTTATTAAAACGGAGTCAAGACTATATTAGCCCGTTATTAATTTTTTTTGGGCTCTGAGAAAGTCGTCGTATTCATTTTTCGATGCACCGTTAGCGGTTCGGCTTGACTTTTACGACGGCTTTTCAATAGTCGATCGGTCGCGCGCGCGCATTGTGGTTTTCGAAAATGCTTTCAATAGAAAAACTAGTTCTAGGCGTCTATCGTCAGGAAACGCACGATCGACTTCTCAAAGGGAAAAACTCGACGAAGAAGAGCATACGGAATTTCATGACGTTCTCGAGCGCAGAGGACATTTGTCGAGCCGCGCCTCTCGCGATCAATTCATTGGGCGGCCGAACGGCTAAGAAGGAACGACGAAGACAATCTCCATGACAATCGATCGACATGCACGCGTACGCGCCGAAAAGTGCATCGGATTCCCAGGCGGTGCGGCGACGAGCAACACAAACCGTTAGTCCGAGTTAGGTGCGGCGGGCGGCGTTGATTAACGAGCGCGCTACCGCTGCTGTGACCACCGTTATGACGCGTTATTTTGGGGTGACCGAGCACGCACAACGCTTCGACTTTTTTAGCCTTTGGAATATTAAATAACCAGCGACATTTCCGACCGATCCTCTCCGTGGCTTTTCAAAGTCGAGGCGAACGACGCATACGAGTCTTCTCTTTCTAGAATGGTCCGTGTGAGATGGCTTTACAAACGATATAGTTGGCTGCCTGGAGAGACTAATGATGTTCTCGAGAGATGGCTGACTAACTATTGACAGCCGTGCGTTGAGTTGATTTATGAGTTCATTATACGACCACGATAATTAAATTAGGCGACTGCAGAACAACACTTGTTTTCAGTTGTTGTGATTCCTATTTCGAACGGATTCCGCTTCCAAGTCACATTTTACAATCCCAATTCCAAAGCTAACATGTGCCGAGAAATCAAACGATTCGCCAAATTATACACGAGATCTTATCTAGCAGACAGCGATAGCTCGCGAAAAATAAATTAGCCCTCGCCGTGCCCCTGAACCAACTAAACGTCGGTTAAAGCAATCTTATCGCTCGGCGCGCTTAAACCCAATTAACCCGGCGTATCGGCTTAATTTTCATTCGCGAAAACTTCGCCAAGTGAATTTCTCTTCCTGTTTATATCTTGTATCAATAACTCGAGGACGGGAATCAATTTACTCGTACGTGCTCCTCCTTCGCGTTCGCGTGCAACCTCGTTATGACGATTTAACGGCCTGACCTTTTTTACAGCACGTCAGTCGATGGGACGATGTTGCGCGTAGATTGGCTTTCGTTGTGCTCGATCGGCTGGAATGTTGTAGCAAATCCATGATCCGTTTGCAATGATTAGTGACTGACGAATGCTCGCTGAGTGTAAGCACGGAGGTGCGTCCGCGCAAAACACTAGCAAAACTATGTCGTCTCTCCGCGACGGGTGTGCAACGTCGCCTCGGTTATTCTCGCTAAATTGCTCGCGTCCGCAAAGCGAGCCACGTCCTAATCGCTAGGATTTCATTCGAACCCGGGGCAACGACGAAACTCCTCGCTGGCAGCGAGGCGATAGGGAAGAAGGGTGAAAAGCACTCACCTCGCGCGCCTGGTCCTCGATGCTCCTCAGCACAGCAAGGTTGCGTATGGTTGCGCGACGTGACTCGAACGACGACTCGAGTCGCGTGGCAGCATTGCCGACCTCCTCGACGAGTCGACGCGCTCGTTCCAGCGACAGCCTGCGTCGCAGCGGTGACAATGAAAGCAAACCATTTTCATTTTCCATATGAATATGTGTGTTCGTGTGCCGCCGCGGTACAATAAAACGTTTCTCCAACCAATCGTGCGTTGGCTTCGAGTCATTTTCTCACGTTGCGATCGTTCGCGGCCTTTCTCTTGGCTTTTTTTCGTTGGTTTTTCGGGTCGCGAACGCTTTTCTAGGCTTTGCCAAAGCTCCGATGGAAAAATTTAATTTGCCTTTTATTTGAAATTCAAGTGAATGCGCAAACTACAGCGAATTAGATCGATTACTCGTTATTTTCCTTATTTATCAAAGATCTCGTTAATAAAAGACTGAATGAAAATTGTTGAGATATGACGGCCAGCGTGGGGTCGGTCGCACGCCACGTTAAATCTGGTGCCTATCATTACCCATAATTTTCTGAAATAATGCATGATTTTTTGATCGTGAATAATATTTCTAGATTATATATAATATCATACGTAACATTATAAATAATCACTTTTATACGTAATGGATAATGTCAGACAAAATTGTTTCACGTGGTGGGGCAAGACTACGAGTTTCTTGATAAAAATATAGGCCTAATCGGTGAAATAATACGACACACTGGTGGCGATCTAAGGTACGTCGTGTTCGCACCATCGGTGTTTGAAAAACAAATCACTCCGAACTGTTATTCTCACCTGACATGATCGACGTTCGCCAACGAAGCAGCTCTCTCCTCAAGCTGAGCCATGACCTCCTCGGCATCTTGGGCGGTGCGTCGTAGGGTCGGGTCGGCAAGCAGTCTATTGAGGGGTGTCAGACTGCCCGACAGGCTCGTGCACTCTTTTAACTCGGACATTTCGAGGGCGAGTCGGCGACCGGCTGCTTGCCACTCCGTCATCACGCTGTCGTATTCCTGCGAATGATCAACGACAAAGTCAAGTGTCAAGATCAAGGCCGAGCACAAGGCTTGCGTAAGAGGCAACAGTTAGTGCCAAGATCGAATGGCGCGAACGACTGAACATTTGATTAACGAGTAACTTTTAAATTTAATATTATAGAAAATGATGACACGTTTCAATTGTGAGTAGCAATTGCAAGCTGTGCTAATGCAAGGGGATAATAATTTTAACGTTATACAAATAACTTACTCCGATATTAGTTAGGAAATTTAGCATTCTGTGTGACAAACTTCTTAGTATTTGACTGATCGTAGCAGTAATCGCCGACGAAAATGTTTATTAGCCATGCAACAGTTAAATTAAGTTATTCGTTCGTGAATCGTGCAAAACGATTTCAGTTGCAAAATTAACGGTGTCAAAGCCACCGCAGCCGAGCCAAGGCTTGGTAAACCTTTGGAGACGTGAAATCGATCGTTAATCCGATAAATCATTGCAATGATAAATCATTGCAAATGATAAGTAGCAAAAGGCAAAAATGCATCGGCCGGGAATCGAACCCGGGCCGCCCGCGTGGCAGGCGAGCATTCTACCACTGAACCACCGATGCCGATAAAAGCGTTTTCTCTGATTTTCCTCATGTCTCGTAGAGTGAAAGGCCTTTCTAGGCCGCTCACCAGATAAAGCCGCGCCGCATAAAGACGATCTCACTGCCGCGCGCCGGCACTCGACTCGAAACAGATGGTAAGAAGAAACTTCCTTTCACTGTCGGTTCCATACTTACAAGGTGTTTTCGTTTATTGCTTAACGTTAAGGAACTACAGTTCGAATTTGAAGAAGAATCTATGAGGGCCTTAATGTGAAAGGTACATGTGGGTGACACGGTGATCTTTTGTGAAACACGTAAAGCAAGATATCTTCTGAAATCGAGAGGAATCGTCTTACCGCAAGAGGATTTTTCCTCAAAATCTTTTGTAAGGAATTGCTTTTGTAATGATGGAAATCATCTTGGTAGAAGAGTTTTTTTTTTACTGTCGCAAGGGGATTCGTTCCAAAATGACCATTCTCATGCCGCGCGAGGAGATTTTTTTCGCTGGACATTGATCATTGCTTGAAGATTTCTCGCGAGCAATACGCAAACTATTTAGCAGTATTTTAATCAAGGTTTGATGAATTTTAAAAACGATGCGATATCGTTGCCGCGTTTGGCTTGCGCCCAAATACTTGTCGACCTGCGCGTTTAAATTAAAGCTACTGGAATACGTTCAGAGACATACTTCTCTAACTCGTTCCCCAGCGAGTTACACTAACACGGCCCACATTCTAGCTACAATTATCCTCACTTTAAAAAGAATTCCCCGCAACCGCCAAATTACCAACTGACACTTGGCTCAAATCAGCGTTCAATTAATTTCGTAACAGTCTGGGGTCCATAAAACAATGATTACTATTAGCCAACAGTGCCACACATTAGATAATCGCAGAGCTGATAGATTGAATAAGCGATGACTTTTGCCGTGTGAGGAGCCCGCAATTAGGGCTCGATAAGCTTTGGCTTGGCAATCGAATTAGAAAGTAAAACGGCGCGACGAAGCGATAATAGCGCGCCACGCGCGCAAACTGGCAGCAGGGTCAAGAGATAGCGCGAGCTGTAAATCAAAGTGCGTGCGTGTGTATATAAACCTCGAGATCAGCGCGCAGTGGATTAGAAGCGTGAGATCGTGAGATTTTCGATCGAGGACAAGTTCAGCTGCCGCCGCTGCTGCTGCTCCCGCCGCTGTCGCTATCAACGTGATTGATGTATGACTTTCTTCATGAGCTTGGATTAGCTGAACGCTTATGACGCACAATTTTCGTAGCGTCACATCGTTGACGTGTTTGTTTGTTCGTTTTTCCTTTTTCGCTTGTTGGATCTTATTCATATGCGTACAGTCCGCGAAAAAGTATAGCGTTGGTTGAATTTTGAGCGTTGGTAATTATTGAAATGGCCACAATCTCGTACGTATTATTATGTCAAACACCTTTTTATGTTGATTATGCAAAAGTTATCAAGTGAGATAAAACAAGTTTTATAAATTTCCAGCAACGTCTTGGTTGCTGAAGTTATTCGGCTAATTGGATCTATCCTCGTCTCACCTCCAAGTGAATTAATTATAACCACAAATTACCTACGGTTTAGTCGTCAGTGTGACGCAAATAATAAAAAGCTCTTTATATATTTTCGTAATTCTACTAAATGCAAATAATACCCAACAAACAGAATTTGCCAAATTTCGCGAACAGAACAGTCTACCGACAAGTGCGAGCGATTAGATTAGGCATTGTCAGCGCTGCCACTGCGTGTGACGATGAGTCGCTTGTTGCTCACGCGGCGAAAGTTGTGTCGCCGGGGAAAACGAGGTCTATTGAATTGCACCAACGCATTGTCAACGCTGCGTTGCATTCGCCTGATTGAATATTCAATGACGGACCTTGTTTTCGGTAACGGCGAACAATTTTAGATGAAAAATTATTTGAAAAAATACACCACGAATATGCATCGAAGTTTATTATTATTATTATTTTTTCACGAGGATGCATTATGTTAATGTGAACGATCGCGGAAGAAGAGTCATCGCTGCGGCTAGGTTAACGAACTTTAATTCGAAATTGATGGGCATTCGCATAACGGTGAAGATTCTGATCGAGAACCAGTTCATCTTCAGGATCATTCGAATTTTATTAAAATCGCGAACACATGACACTCGCAATAACAATCCATCAGCGAGCTATCAGCCTTTTGCCACGTCATTTTTTATTCCAAGAAGCCTCTTCTCTCGTCGCGCATGCCGCTTATTTTGATTGTTATGTCACCGCGCGGCCTAGAATCTTCGGTCCGTATAATAATGCGCATGCAGAAGTGTAATCTTACCTTGTAGAAGGCGACGCAGTGCTCGTGATTGTAGTCCGTTGTTCGCCTGGGGATGTGTTTTTCCAGTGTGCTCTCGTCCACGTTTACGGTCTGTAATCAAAAGGCAAAACACCACCACGTTTCTCATTCTTTCCCTTCCACTTCTTACTCTGTTTTTGATCGAGTTTCTGCTGATGCCACGAGAAAGACACTTGTTGTGTGGTGTCGACGCGATACGAATTCTATTTCTATTGTCCTCTGAATCTCGCGGGGATGGCATTTTTCACGAGGATGACGTTACGTATATTGTTATTCTTTTCGTCTCGCGATAGTCGTGCGAATGTTTACGTTTTCTAACTGTTTATGATTATGAAATTGCTAAATCGAAAGATTTTTTTAATGGGAAAACCGTGTTAGCAAGTTGTGGAAGGAGAACAATTCCGATCCTCAACTACAAAGCCCTGTTTTTATTTATAGTTGCATACTGGAAGAAGAAAGATGAAAACAATCGATAAAATGCTTCCGAGCATTATATAAGCAATAAAACTCAAGAATAAATACCGATATTCAAACTATTAAGTCCGGCCAGAATTCAATTTACCTTTTTTCCGTTCGACAATGGAACTCGGAGAGCGTGCACGCGGCGAAAAGCCCCGCATAAACATCGAATGCAAACGATCGTTGCGTGGCACCCTTATTACCTGGTCTCTTCGCGACACAAAACCCGCACGCGGCACACGCACAAAAGAAAAAAAAGAAGGGGTAGAAATCCAATGGAACGATCGTGGCGTTACTTTATTAGCACGGCGCAGTCACAACAAAGACTCGGCTTTTTACTTTTTCCTTCGCTACGCGAACCCCTGGCTACGTTAATTAGTCCTTTTTATCGGGGCGGAGTAGTCGTTTGATAATGTCGTCTCGCGCGGCACATTCAAAGCGAATCGTCAGAAGTACGCACGAACGAATCCTGGCGCGGCCATTGATCATTTTTTATTTATTTTTCGCTCGCGACTTTCTCCACGCGCGGGAATCGCGCGAATTTCCGTCGGAGGATTATGCACTTACCTTGAGGTGGCTACGTGTAAAGAGGTCGCACGACCTGCCTTCCGGTGCACTGCGCAGCAGATACGCTTGCGCCGCTCTGAGCTTGCCCTGAAAAAGTCAAGCATTGCTTCGTTTTCTTTTTTTCTTTGTTTTCTGTATTTTTTTTTTCTTTTCGTTTCGTTCGCCAAGGGCTTTGAGTGAAATCGCCACAAGAGAGGATTAATTATTATTCGCGAAGCCGGGGCTTTTCGAGAGACGCTCTCGGTAAAAATTAATTAGCCGCCGGTCGAGCGACTCCCGGATCGAGCGGAATCGCTCGTTACAAGTGTTCCGATAATCCTCGATGGGCTTAATTTCACTTTTTGCCGGGCCGCCGGTGCAATGGAGAGCGCCGCATTTTCGACCATCGCTCGAAGAGACGATACGTCGAATTGCGTAAGACGCGTGTTGCACGTGTTTGCCGATTTCACGTAATATAAATTGATAGTCTGACATTTAACGATTTATCACTCGACGAGCCTCGACAAAGCTCCGATTAGAAGGATCGCACTCACCTTGACGAGATTGAGCGCTCGATCGAGAGTCTCCACCTCCTCCTTGGAATTGGCGTTGACGAGCAGCGCGAACTCCTGCGAGCTGTCCACGCTGAAACGAAAAGAATCGGACGATTACACGATCGCCGCTCGCTTATCAAGCATCTGCGCTATTGTCCATTGAGCAGTGTACGTGCACGTGCGCGCGCATTATCGGCGCTAGCTTAAGGCCAGGATATTATAATAACATGGATGCGAGTTTTCCCAAGTGATCGCGCGGCTCATTCGGATTTCTCCGCCTCGAGAGCAATTGGGTGCACCGCGCGCGCGCGCCTCTCTACGGAGCGCGGAAAACCTCAGCGCTAACGAGACGTAGGTCGCGCGCGCGCACCGGCTTTCCCACGTTTTCTTGGCGCGGTGCGCGCCCGTCGCGACGTTTGCCGAACGCATTTTCTTGTCCGCGTGCCAGTGTCCATCTCTCTCTCTCTCTCTCTCTCTCTCTCTCTCTCTCTCTCTCTCTCTCTCTCTCTCTCTCTCTCTCTCTCTCTCTCTCTCTCTCTCTCTCTCTGACGCGTTTCCACGCCGCAACAAAACGAATTGGCTCGAAGGAGAAATTGAGCGTCCGCGTAGGGGAGGCGATCGATCGCCGTTGTCAATCCAAGCGAAGCATCGGGCATCCATCAGCATGTCTAATTGCACGCGAATCCGCGGCCATATGTACATCGGCCGCGCGCACTTTCGGCGACTCTCTATCGCGATTAGGCCAACGGCGAAAATCCGCGAAAGGAAACGGAGCGCGATCGCGACGCGCACAATGCCATTCAATCGGCGGCGCACCGCGGCTAATTAACCAACGATTACGCGCCGTTCCAGATTGCCCGCGCGTGTACGAGGGCATCGCGCATCGGCTCTCGCATAGTCATGAATCATAAGCGAGCGCTATCATCCCCATATAAGTCCAGGGAAATAAAGAGTTTTCTCTATAAAAGTCGTCGAGCATATTTAGAAGCTCCGCGTGGCTTCTGCGCGCAAAACCAGTTTAGCATCGGCTTAGTCTTTTTTTCCTTGAGCCAACTCCGCTCCGAATAATTGTTCATCCGTACATACGTCAAGGCATGATTTAAGCGTCGCTTCGGCATTCCGCGCACGCGCTGCATTCGCTGCGTATCGGATCTTGCCGATCGACAGATGCATCCATCACGGCCAGCATAACTCGTCCACCCACTATACTCCTCGCGGCCTGCGAAGGTCAGTCCAATGAAAACGAGGGCGGCCGCGGCGCAAAGGAAATAAGTCAATTTTACAAAAGGTGCGCTCCGAATGCATGGAAAAACGAGCGTACCTCGCGCGCTCTTCGCCTGTGTCTTCGAGCGAGTTCGTTCTTTCTTCGTTTCGGCGCCAACGCTACTTTTTTTTTCATCGATTGCAGCCAGTGATTCTCGCGAGGACGTGGCCCTAAAATTGAGTTATAAACTCCCTTTGAAAAAGAAAGTATTTTGGCGTCTTCTTTCGTTCCGTGTCGTAAAACGAGGAAGACGGGAATTCCGCGGTTTTTCATCGCAGGCAAAAAGCAAACGCAAAAACGAAAGCGAAACGCGCGGAGGCGAAAGTACACCGTACTGGCCGCGAGCCCTCGTGAAACATATATATTCCAGCGGTAAAAGATAAAAAAAGCGCACGCAGTGCAAGCCACGAGGAAGGGCGGGGGGGGGGGGGGGGAGGGGGGGACTCTAAAAAGTAAAATTTATGCTCATCCTCGCCACTGAAAAACAAAGCAAGAGTCTCGCGGCGCAGAGGAATAATTGGAGCTCGAGCGCTAAACAATGGACGACGGAGAAGAGAGAAGATAAGGTACATACATTGATGCTTGGCCGTAACTCATACACTGCCAGCACGTTTGCAACACGCGGTCAGGTGTACACTGCGGTGGATCATTGCAGGTTGCTTGCCAACGCACTCGCGAATGCATACATATTCCCTTTCGCGAAATTCGAAAGGCTCGCGTCGGATCGTTGGCCACAGCAGCTTCAGCTCGTAGGGTAGTCGTAGATGCATTATCGACACGATTATAATTCAGTAGTCGGGTTGAATTCGATGGTGTTGCTGGACTTTGAAGAAAGGGGACGCGGATGTGCGCTAATTGCTTCCCGGTCAATCGACTCGGATATTTATAAGCTCAGTGCAATTGAGCTCCGACTTGGGAGGAAATTGTTGGGACGGCGCTCCCAGCGACGCGACTCGCAAATTATTGATTCTCGTTTCTTTCAAAAGCCACGGGAAGTCGACAGAATGTCAATGAATATTTCAACGACAATTTATCGCTGCTTTACGGGACGCCCGACAAGCAGGCGCGCGTCATATCTCGCGGGGGGGATTTGTTTGTCAGCGAGCGAAAAACGACAATTATTATGGCGTCGTGACGCAAACGAGCGTCGCCCTAAGGCCAATTACCAAATCGGCTTTTCCGCTACGTGCACATGCAGCGTCCGAAAAGATTTATCGCTGACTTTCGCCCCGGGACTTTTATTAGTATATGCGCTCGTTCTAATCTGTCAACGAAGGCATCTCTCCCACTTGGGATTACAGAGCGCGATTGTTAAAGTCGACAAACGGGACGGGAGCTTTCACCGTCGCGACCGAGCGATCAAGCCGTAAACCAATTCCTTATTCGAACTGGAAAAAGAAGCCTCGGCTTTTCGAAGATTTTTCAAGTCGCCAGAGGAGAATAGAAAGAGGAAAGGAGAGGCATAAATCGCGCGCCAAGTAACGAGAAGCCGTTCGAGTTGTCATAATTTTAAGCGATTCCTTCGCGACTAGACGGCCAAACGGCACGAAGGGGCGAGGAGAGGGAAGCTCATAAAATCGTTGCACGACTTGCGCTTAGGAACTTGTGCACCCTGGGGGGCTTCTTGTGCCACTCGCCTTTTTTCCGCTTTCGTTACTCCTTTTTTTTCCTTTTCTTCTCTCCCAACATTCTTGCGCGCGAAATTCTTACGGAAAAATTCATTAAGAAATTCAAATTACGTATGCCGCAGCCCCGTGAATTTATGTACACACGCGTACGTGTACACGACGTCTCTATTAAGAATCCTCTCTCTCTCTCTCTCTGCGTCGAAAGGATGTATATAATTTAACGCGTATGAGGTTGCGCGAGATGCGGATGGACTAATATCTCGCGCTGCGCTGGTGCCTATGCGAAGCTTTAATATAGAGTGTCGCCGGGGAAAAGTGTCGTACGACGGCAGATGCGACTTATTAGAAAATTATTACTTCTGTTGCGTATATTAAAGCGCGCGCCTCTCGCGCTTGCGCTGGCAGATTTTTTAACGCGTTAGCATGAGTTACGACTGTATCTAGTTTTACGGGCTTGGTTATGGCTCTCAAAACTATTCGCTTGACAGCTGATGGCTGCGCACGTGGTTTATGGTGATTGAAAATCTGCGCTTTATTTGGTAAAACGTGCAATTTTCTTTTCTTTCGGTGTCTTTTGTTCTGTTTTCCTTCTTTCGAGAAGATTTCCACCGGAAATTATCTCAAGAAAACATGCAATGTCATACCGTATGAGTGGACTTGCAGGCTTCTCTATTTACGAAATTCAATAACCCAGTGAATTTATGCAGGTGCACGTTGCCCCGTAGAAGTATTTAAATGCCGGGATTAAATTCAACTGTGACGAAGAAAAAAAATTGGAAACACACGTGTAGAGCCAATATAAACATTCGCGAAACACGTAAACAAGGAAAGGTGAGCGGTAGGCGTGAAAAAGGACAAGGCGAGAGCCGTGTTGCGCGGCAGTAGCATTAAACACGCAGAATGCGATACAAGCGCAAAAAGTACTCACCTTGGTAGACGTGCGAGGTAGAGCAGAAGAGTGGCCATTTCCCGAGACGACACGACTTCCCGCCGCGTTGAGCCTCCATCGAATTCCAGCACTGGTCTGCTCGCGACGTCTGCGTAGCCTGCAACCATTGACAAGTAACGAAGCGTCGTCAGAAGAAATCTCGATGGTCATGGAATACACGCGAAAAGTACGAGGGTGCAATGGACGCGTAAGGGCGACCGGTAAATCAAACAAAAACCGACGAAAAAGGCCGCGCCGCAGCACTCTGTCGACGATCATTTCAATATCTCCGAAGACTGTCATTAATCCTCAAACTACCTGATCAATCTCGGCGGCGAGGCCTGCGAGGTGTGTTTATATCTGTATACACGTCCTCTCTCGCGGCGGCCTGCGTATAAAACGACGGGGATTATAATCGCATCGCTCAGTCGTCTAGTAAAGGAAAAAGCACGCGTCTCGGAATGAAGATTAAGTAATTACGCATTATCATTGCCCACATCGTTGAGAATTAATCCGCCGCGCGCGGACTAATGGCGCAAAAACAAGTCGAGCATTAATCACGCGGCTAATTTATCGTCGATCGTATCTCTCTCTAGCGCGCAAAAACTGGCAGTATGCAAATTAACGAGGCTCTATAAAATAATAATAGTAGCGGCGACGGAAAAAAGACGGGGGGATGGGGGGGTCGAGTGCAGGGCCAGTCGGGCGTTGTTCCGATCGGAGACACAAGCGGGTTGTTGGGATCGGTTGGGCTTTCCGGCCGGCTGCCGAGATCTGCAGGAACGCATTGCGATCGCAGCGAGCGAATAGAAACGCCCGATTTTTCCGCTCGTCCGCGAACTCGAGCGACGCCGATTCTAATTAAAATCTTGGAAACGAGGCAATTTCCGCGCGGACGTACATCGCGCATCCCAGCAAAGCAATACGCTGTTTGGAATAACCGAGGCGCGCCGCGCGCGCGAAATTAGCCGCGAAAGTAACAGCGTATAATTCCGCAATGAGAGAAGTCTAATCGCGAAACTGTAATTATACGCGCGAAAGTAAGCCCGATTAACCCCGCGAGTACTTTCTCGGTGCGCGCGTGCGTACACCCGCTGACCCGCTAACCAATCTGGCGATCCTGATGGGCTCGGCGGAGGAAGGAAAACTCGCGACCACTCGCGACCACTCGCGACCACTCGCGACCACTCGCGACCACTCGCGACCGCGCGAGAAGACGGGAGCCGTGAAAGGGCGGCGCGGAAGGGGGACAACGTTCGCCGAGGCTCTATCCATGGGGGCGCGCGCGAGCGCGCGAGCGCGCGATGATTTACCGTCCATAAAAGTGAATTTCGCGAATGTGTGCTGCGTGCGCGAGGCCTCCTCCTGCGCGCGAGTGCCGTTACATAGCAGCGCACGCGAGATATTAATTAGCCGGGCTTCGCGCTCGCGACGGCGCGCACAAAAGGACGGCCCCTAACGTTTTAACGAGCGAACTGCCATACGCCTGAGATACGTCCGTTCCCCGGCGCCGTACGGGATTTTCGCGGGAAGACGCTCCGCGCCGTCGCGTCAGCTGGCGCGCGCTCGCCGAGTGAATTCCGTGGGACTTTTGAGAATGCCGCCGGCTCGATTTTCCGGCCGCGGGTGGCGCGGAAAGTGGCTCGAGTCGCGGAAGCGGCGGTCGGCTCGTCTTATCAGCGCTCGCGTTTTCTCGCTCTGCAACTCGCTTGTCACTTTCACCGCGGGCTTTATCTTCGGCGGCGGCGGTGGCGGCGGCGAGCACGGAGGCCAAAGGGGCGCGCTCAGCTCATTCTCACATCTCGCTTGGGTCGGCTAATGCATCCGCTACTCGGCGATACGCCTCGGAAAACTTCGGCGCGCACCTTTGCTCTCCGATTGTTTGCGCAACGGGAGAGCAGAAGTGTACCGTCGTCACTTTCTCCCATGACACGCGCGCGCACATTGTTCCCATACATGGATTTTCGGGGCAGCGCGCCAGCTTCGTTAACATTGTGCACCTCCGCGCGTACGCTCCTCATTTTCGATCTTAAATAATACTCGTTAAGCTGCCAGTGAATTTTAAGAGCCGTCGTTTGCTTTCTTCCTTCTCGTATATATCTACCTCTGATCAGTAGTTACTCTACCCTCGTTAAGGTTCCCCCTTTTTTTATACATATTTCGGCGTTTACTTTCTCGCATTGACCGCCGGCGACAACGAGCGAGGAAAAAAGAAATCTCAACATTATCGCATTTCGCAGAGATGCAATCTTTGACCCACATATTACTCGCGGTCGCGAGTCGAGAGTAAGTGCCGACTGTCAGTCAAAATTCCCGACGAACAATGAGAGCGCGAAAGCAATTGACAACGAGTTCTCGCGCGCGCGCGCGCAAGCGAGCGGCAAGAAAAGCACGCTGAAAGACATTCGGCGCCCACGCGCTCTTGCGCACTCTTAACGAAGCGAAAGAAGTGCCCGGGTTACAAGGCGCGCAGCTTGCACGCGAGCTCGCTTCGACTGCGGCGCTAGACATTGATCGCGTCGATCGGTCCAAGGCGAAAGACACGCTTGGCTTTGCCTTCGCTTTCGTTCGTTCGATTAGCGCGAGCGCGAGATTAAACAGCTGTAATCGTTGCGTCACATCTGTGGAATTACGCGGAATCTCTCTGGCGCCGATCCATCAGCGACAATGCGATATAATGGTGCTATCGAACGCGATTGCTATCGAAGCGGCAATCGTACATCAATGGGAGTACACGCTGACACCGCGAAAGGCATTTGGCATTCGTAAAACAATGATACGCGTGTCGGAGATGAAGCCCTACTGTGATTTACGTCAACTTATTTGACTTCTTAAAAAGTGAATTTACAGCAGCAGCAGCAGCAGCCGGCGCGAGCGCAATTTACGAGAAAACATCAGCATTTAATGCGATAATTGCACGTTGAGATTGCACTTGCGCGCGCTTAGGGTTATCGATGATTTACGAAGCATTAAAAACGCGTTAAGCAGAGCCACTTCTTTCGCGCGCGCGCCAAATGGATTTATTAGCCAATCTTTTGCTTTTCTTTCTTTTTGGACTGTTATACAACCATGTATTCAATTAATTAATCTATCTCGTGCGAAAGTTATTGTTGCCATGTGGTCGTTGCCCTTCTCCGTACAGCTTACCATAAACGGTGCGGACGTGCGGTGTCTTTTTGTTCGTTCTCGTGTGAAATTTCAACCGCAGAGACAAGGCCATCTTCTCATCGGATAGCGTAACTATTCAAAATCTTTCGGGAAAGGTGCTCGCGCGATTCCGATAAAATTTGACCTGCAGATAATTTTCGACCAGTGAGATGAAAATCGGCGAGCTGCAATTGATTAAACAACGGCGATCCACGAACAAACAAGTAAGAATCGAATCACAAAAGCTAAAAGAAAAAGCAAGCAACGGCGTCTGACGAAGCCTCGCACGCAACGAAATTGAAGAGGTCAAAAGCAGCATCTTAGCCGTAGCGAATCACTGATAAATTGCATTTCTCTCTCTTCCTTCTTTTCGTTCGCGGCTGCGGCGCGGCACACGCGTTTGCTTATACGAGGAGCTAATTATGGGACCTCGCCGGGGCGCTGATTAATGAGCGTTCACGTGAAATCGCTCATGCCCCCACAATCCCTTTCTACCATCTCATCTCATTGCTCAGCCATCGGATATGTTTTACAAACTGGTACACGTGTTAAAACGGATTACCCCGGCTTTTTCGGCACTCGCCAGCTCGAGAAAGTTACAACTACTGGGTTCCAGTTTTTTTCTTTGTTTTTTTTCGCCCTCATCTTGCGCTTGCGTGGCTGTGATCTTCCGTGTCTCATGAAGCGCGTCTTTACTTCTAATTCACTTTCTACTGCACTGCCGTCTACGTTTATCATTTTAACTAGCGCTAATTTTTATTTTTATGTTTTCAATTCTTTTGTTGTCATAATAATTTTAATTGAGTTCTCCGGCTACTACGTGACTCTATTTCTTCAATGTAATTAATGGCAAATTCTCTGACTACCTGAAGTCACACCGTTAAAGAAAATAAAAACTAACTACTTTTAACTGATAGACAATAGATAAATATAATCTCAATAACAGGAAAATCATCATCAACTATTTAAAAATTTCACTTACAGCTCGTTTACGGTGAAACATCAGACTCGATTTCTAAAATAAATACCTAGATTGCCAGCAGTTCATTGCCTTCCATCACAAACCGCATCAATCAACTCGTAAAATTCCCGCAAAAAATAACAAACAACTGAATAAACATTCAATCTAATCGAATAGACAAACAATCTATCTTCTTTTCTCTTTAAGCGAAACGACGTCAATTAAGGCATCCCGTTAAAAGTCCAGCAAATCTCTCTCTCTCTCTCTCTCTCTCTCTCTCTTTCTGGCGCGATATGACGAATGTCACCGTACCGTAACGGATGCATTACGAGAGGAAACGTCTTTATCGACGCGAGCGAATGCCCTCGTAAAGATGCGACTCGCTCGCCGCTCGCTGGATTACGCGACGCTTGCGCGTCAGCGCAACGGCGCTTTATCGAAAACGCGGATGCCAGCGATTTGTATCTCCGCGCGGCTAATGAAACTGCGTTTGGCTCGTTCTGTCGCCACGGCTCATCTCTCCGGCGAGCTTTGACGACTTGGTCGCTGCGAGCTAATGGATTGCCTGGCGTTTTAACAACGCGCGCGCGCGCGCGACAAAATTTCCATGCGAACCGTTAGAAGCACCGCTGCGAAACCACCCAATTTCTCTCGGAGAGAAAAACCTTCTCCGAACCCAGCCTTCTTTTTCTCTTTCTCTTCGTCTCCTCGGTCCAATCGCGCGGCGGGCTAATTAAAATTCACGACACTTTGGGACGAGAATCGTCGGGGCGTCGTAAATCAAAGGGAAAAATTACAAGGCCGTTACGCGAGGATTCCACCTCGCGAGCGTAAAGATACATTTACGAGTGAAACAGAGAGAGAGACGGTTGATCGTCGTTACATATACTCATCGCGAAGACGTCGAACGAGCGTACACCGTGCCACAAAAAGTACAGGCAGATGCGCGCGCGAAGAACACGGCGTTCGATGCACACTACTCGCTGTGTCGTTCGGGGATTTGCGAATCGCGGGCATGTCGCAGCGTAACGCAGTTGTTATACGCCTTAGTATCCGCGTGCCCATAACACGTGGTTACTACTGTTACCACTACTCCTTTGATGCTTTCGATTGTCCTGCACCCGCGACTCGCTTCTGAATGATCGAGCGTGAGCTTGTGCTTGACGCGCTCGAAATCACGCGAGGCGTTGAATTTGCAAAAGGAAGAGCGGTGAATTGCAATTAGTCGACGTGCAAACGAGCGCGCAAACGTATTTGCCGTGACACACAGCGAAGAGACTGCGTGTAAGAGTCATTTAAATCGTCGACGTGTTCCGAGGTGCGCGATAAACGGCGTGCCCAGCTGCGAATACCCACGGAGGCAGCGGAAAAACGCACGTAACGAGGAAGATACAAAGAGAGGGATGACGCAACGACTACACCTCCCTATGTATGAGCTTGCAGAACACTACTACTATTCGCGGCGGCAACAACGGCAAACGGAACAGAGGGCATGACAGTGCAGTTATTATCGGGTGCGCGCGAAGGGAATGAAACGTAGGTGGTCGCGGCCGCATATACGTGTATTATATATCGCGATCGGGAAAAACGGGTTTCACATACGCAATCGCGCAAAAGCGCCTAATCATCTCTCTCTCTCTCTCTCTCTCTCTCGCAAAGCGTGCGTGTATCATTTCCACGCGGCGCGTTAAGATGAGAAACGAAGATTGTCGTGTTCTGTTCCTCTCGCGCGCACACACACAGAGTCCCAAGGGCTATTATGATATGCCGCTGATGGAAACTGTTTGTTAAGAGTAATTGCATTGAAAGTTCATTTTGCTGGGCGCGCAATCCTCAAGGGTTATTTCTATGATGTCTTTTCGCTTCTTTTTTCGATATATATATATATATATATATATATATATATATATATATATATATATATATATATATATATATATATATATATATATATATATGCTATATTGGCTATCGATGCGCGGGTTTGTTTTACAGATGGTTCACGTCTGATTAACAGGGACAGACGCGTCGTGTGTTTTTCATCTTGATCTGTGCCTTTTCTTCGACGCGTACGCCATAAATCGTGCTACGTCATTGCAATTAAAATCTTCTCCAAAGAATCAATAAAACGACGAGGACCGTAGCAACTTACCAGGCAGTGTGAGGCCGCAATTGAGTGCTCGTTCGGATATCTCGTGAATAGTCCTGGGCGCCGTCACATCGTCGATTCGCTTCTTAGTACCTACAACACAAAAGAGCCAGCTCGTTAGTATAATCAGGCCGGCTTTTCATAATCTAATTCCCGACATCCCACGAGTGCGTTGACACGCGAATGAGGAGACTAGAATCTTGGGATGTGCGCTCGCTCACGTGCCTTTCGAGATTATGGGCTAAGATATACATCAAATACATAAGTTTTTTGAAGATCGAAGGACGAGATCGTCATCGCTGACACATAACAAGTCGAATACGTCTTTTCCACATTGGCGCCGAATGTTCTCGTCGACGGAGACGCGTTACGATGTTTATGCCGTAAACCCTGCGCAAATTTCACAATATGATGAATAGCAAAGTGATTTAGATTGCAGACCCGTTCGCAACTGCAATTTGTTTCAAGCTGGCAGACGCGCGGGAAAGATGTACATTGATCATTAGTTCATTGTATCTTTTTTTCTTCTCGCTCTGCGAAGCTTCGCAGCGAAAACCACGCATTCAAACTTAACGTACTCGTATAGCTTATACGCGTATAAGGTAGCAATGAGAGATTCGGGGGCAGTGGATTACCGAGGATCAGTTTTTTCTCTCGTTTCCCTCGCTGACCGTAGTTTGCTTTTCGTTTTCTGCGCGTCTTCCAGAAGCATTATATTAATCGAACGAACATCAATTGAACGACGGTGTGTAGCGCAAGACTGCTCGTGCAGAAAAACAATGGGTTTTCGATTAGAGAGCGCGTCCGGAGCAGAATGAATGGACTTGAATTGGCCCGAGGCCCAAACAAACTTCTCCCAGCTCGCAAAAAATTTACACGCCCGAAATCGAATGACTGCGAAACGTTTGAAGAACGACCTCGACCTCGTGCCGTCACGCTTTGCAAACTTTGCGCGCACGTGCTGCCCCAGCTCTTAGTCGTCTTTTTTTTCTCGACTTGGCTGCGAATTCTCGGCCTACTTGAAAATATACGGCTGTTATCAAAAAATATACATTCTCTAATTATGCAACCGCGCTACAACAAAATCGTGATCGACCCATTAGCGCATCAGATGTAGGTCATTGTCATGTCAACGTCTGATCGTATAAACGTTCCGGCGTATTCGCTATTTCTCCCTCAAGGTTTCAAGGGAGAGAGAGAGAGAGAGAGAAGATGTGACACTGCGGTTGTACGCGCTAATTGTTCCTGTCGGAGTAGTGCACAGCCATCTTTATTATGGGTGATTTGCGTTGCACCGCGAAAACGATTATAAATTGGTGTCAGAGATTAGGGTAATTCATCAAAGATGTGAGCATGCAAATGAGATATGAGACAGTTTTTTGATCAGCGTTGGACCATCAATTATCGGGCGTAGCGATGTATACCGATAATAAAGATTGCCGCGTCAATAAACTAACTTTAATCCACAAGCAATGATCTCCTCGCGAATAACTGTATCTATTAATACAAATAATTACCATTGTTCAGTAATGCCTTGGGACAACTCAATTTTCGGACAGCAGCAATTTCCCAGCTAATTAAGTTCACGCAGACTCATTAGCAGTCAAGAACAAGACTCTTTACAACGGAAGAAGGCAGCGCTCAAGGAGAAAGAGAAAAAACTTGCGCTTTTTATTTTCAGAGATGCAATCGGTTTACGATTCGACGGGGTTCCCCTCCCTTTTCTTGTGTAAAAATGTGTCTCACTGATTTATGCGAAAAATTTGGCTCGGCTTTCGTTTCGGCAGCTTCTAAGAATCATAATTTGTAATGAGATATCCTCGGAGATATTTAAGTCTGAGAGAGAGAGAAACGATGTATCACAATGGGATTCGAAAAGATCTACTTTTACCCGTTCCGTTCAATTCGATTTGTCAATACATGCTTAAGCACTTTTATTTATGGATCTGCTGTCGTACGTTTAAAAGTATTGTTTATGTATATTTTTTGGAAAGTGTCTTTTCACCGCCTTAATATAATTTCTCCATTAATAAAGACTTCGATTTGTTTTATGGGAGACTGAGCGGCTACGTACCCATACATAACCGGACCCATTCAGCAGAAATGATAAATAAAGTTTTTACTTTGCCATTTGCGAGCGAGCGATTTATCAAAAGGCGTAATGAAAACATTCGTTATTTGGAAAAAGTTTTCACGAGAGAGTTACATTTGTGTTAATTGGTATACCACGTCGTTAATAACAGTCACGTTACCTTTTCTTATTTTCAAAAATTGTCTGTGAAGTTAAACTTATGTCGTTATATCACCCCATTAATAACAATTGCATTAATTTTTTTTTCAAATTGTGCTCGAAGTACATATATATAAATAGTAGCGGTTCGAAAGTTCGAACATTTTCGATGAGCGAAGAGGTGAAAAGCCATAAATAAAAAGATGCTTGTCGTCGAGGAGACAAATTAACTCTCTCGCTCTCGAGTGTCGGACAAAAATGGCACCGCTTTTAACAGGACTGCAAGTCGCGTATATCCTCGCAGCTCTCGATGCGTGTGTCTGTCGCGGAGAATACAAACATGTGCACTTTAGCTGTCGTCGTTGCTGCACACACAGCGTAAATCACTTTGTGAGAAGAGTCGCCCGAATTATTCGATGACGCGGACAAGAACAATGGGGTCGTCGTTGTCAAGCTATACGTTAATTTTTTTTCTCGGTTATCTCGGTTTCTCTCCCCTTTTTTTGCGCGCGATGTTCGTGCAAATCGTAGAGTCGGATTTCACCGGACATTACGCCGCGTTTGCGTGGAAATTGCTCTGAAAATCCCGAACAACTGCAAATTGTTTAGTTTTGTAAGCATTCTCTTTCGATATTTATTTCAGGTTTGTGCGTGGGAAAATTGATAACGGCTTGAGGTGCGGGAATTCAAATGGTAACTTGCAATTTTATATGCTCTTGATAATCTCTTGTCCGTAATTTTTCTACCATCCAAACAAATAAATACTTAGCATAATGGAAAGAACCAATGGATGCCCGTACGCATGAAAACAGAGCGAAATAGATTCTCCGTAAAAGGGTCCAGACGGACGGAATACCCTTAATAAATAGCCATAGGAAACAATAGCCAATGCCCAAAAAAAAATAAATAAATAAATAAAAGCCAAACCCAGTAACATAGAAATCGATAATCCAATCAATTGTACCTCTATCTCTTGCTGCTCGCGAAGGCGCCCTATTCAGTCGCGTGTAATGGAAACCATTTCGAGAAATCGGGACGAGCGAACGATCTCGTAAAGGCGATTTCGTTTGTGCGCGCGCGGCGATTGAGATATTAGCTTCACGGCGCCCGAATGCCTGCTTTTATCCGATTGAAAAATCACGCACTGTGCGTGTGCTTGTGCATTTTGCGCAGTTGCGCGTGCTTCGACAAATGAGCTCGCGGCTGCGATATATCGGGGGACTTTGCGAATTAATCGCTTGTAATTGCTGGAAATGTTTTTGAAATCAATGTTGGTATTTGGTTGATTTGTCAGCTCGATGATAGGTCGACTCTTTCTCATTGAAATTAAAAATTTTACAGCTAATTCGTGAGCGCGTAATAACGAAACGACTCTTGCGGCAAGGATATTTTTTTCGTTCGCGGGTACAATGCAATAACGAGTTGAACGAGTCACAATGTTTTCTCCAAGGCAATTTCACACAACGAAAATATCAAACAAATCAAATCCTTCCGCTCTCATTTTTCGTTACAAAGGCGAGGTTCATTACCGCCAGTCAATTAGGAGTTTAATGATGCGCTGCGGGCGCAAGTTGCGTAAAGCGATGAACTAACGCCACATGCAAGACCAAGATTCAGCTGATGGTGAAAGTGGAATGTAAGGTGAGTATATGCGAATTGGCCCTTTCAACAGTTATGATTTGCTGACCTTATCGTTCATCTTCTCAACATTTACAATTTTTCCAACTACATTTTTTTAATTAAAAAATAAAAATAAATTGAGCATGATTATTAAATAAATACATTTATGCATTAAATATTCAGTCTTTCTCTAGCAAATATCTTTAATTGGTGACAATGTAACACAACTGGGGTAATTAACGCGTTGACATGCTCTAATCACACTATTTTTTACGAAAAAGACCCATTGCAAATGATTGTTTGAACTTATGTGGCATTGCAATTATGCAAAATACATTTTTAAAAGTTGATATTTAAAGTATTTCATCTAAACAAAATTTAAAGAATAAGTCTCTTCAATTTCGAATTTAGAACTGTGACATTTTTTTAAATTATTCAATAAATTAAATTTCATCGTTAATTTTATATTAAAAAATTTTTAGGATGACTCACCTGAGTCAATATTTCACAAAAGAAATGCCTAGACACAATTTTCGTTTTGATAGCTATTTTTTTTAAAAGTTTATAAGAAAGTTCAATAACGTTCAGTTATGGATGTTATTTAACATTTATTACCTATTAATTTTATACATTTATTATCTATTAATGCGTCGTGTTCGGCAAAAGCATTTTACTTTTAATTTTTACTGCATAGTTAACTCTTATCGATGAATAATCACATTGGTTTGACTAATATTTGCCTAGTTTTAAAATATTGAGCATATTCTACTAAATTCTGTATAACGTGTATCCAAAATTCCAGTTTTCAACGCAACTTAGACAAAAGTGGTCGTTCGCATCAAACCACAGAATGAATATCATGTTAAAGATGTTTAAATATATTATACACCTCTATTTTATCACAAGTAAGTCAGACAAAGAGAAATGTAAATTTCGTGTATAAATAACGTTTCTAAAAATGTAGTGGTGAATTTTAGTTACTCAATTTCCATTTTACGGAGCGACTCCACTGATCGGACCTGAACCAGATGTGCAAGTTGCAACTATATATGAAATGTTGTTTATTGTGTCTATATCCCAGAATATATCTTCACAATGTCGAAAAGAAGAATATAATCACTTATGCGGAGGATCTTTAATAACTACCAAACATGTTTTAACTGCTGCGCATTGCTTTCGATCCTGGAAATACCATGAAATTGTTGTGATAATAGGATCAAATAATTTGAGATTAGGTAACCCT